AGAGCGTCTTTGAAACACTATAACTTTAATTGAAATAGAATTCTTTGGGCCATTAAGAATGTAATTCGTTCAAAGAATAAAGAAACAAATGTAAATTATCATTCAATTAAAATTATTATTTTAATTATGATAAAAAGTTTTAAACATCGTTACTATATAATTTATGATTTATAATTTTTCTATAAATATATCTAATATTTTTCATAGATTATATTGCAATCAATTTGATATGCTATAAGATATCAGTTAAGGAATTTTTAAATGTAACATGTATATATATATATATATATATATATATTAATGATCTATTTTATATTAAATGCGTTGTAAATGTTATTGTACATGTACCAAAAATATGCAAATATTTTTTTTACGTAGACGAAAAGTAAATAGAATTAAAAATAATATGTAATATTATATGTTAAAGGATAAATGCAATTTTCACAAAATCTCGTAAATTTTTCCATTCTACCTGTAATTATATACTGCTATGTTTGAACAGTAAAATAGTCGTAGCCGGCTTGTTTACTCTTTTAAATTTGTTTCAGATGATGAGCCACCCCCGGTAGAGCAGAGCGATGATGGATGGTTGAATTTTACGAAAATCAGCCAAGCGGAGAGCGGTTGGTACAAATGCTATACGCGACATATGCTCGGCATTTTTTCGAGTATCGGCTACTTCCTCAATGTGCGCTGTAAGTAATCATAATTTCTCTGTTTTACTTCGTCCTCCTACATTCGATGCTCCATGATCCTTTAGTTTAAATTTCATTAAGAGCTGGTTCTGCTAGAATTCACCGCACGTCCTTTACATTTGTTATCGAAATATCCTTGTTCAATTCAGAAAAGCTCGACTCCCTTTCAATTTTCCTTTTGTTGGGCGTATAATTTTTAGTCGATTATGGTGTAGTTACTGGCCGACACCGAATGGCAAAAACTTTTTTAAAGATCGAAATATATCTCATGAAAGTTTATTCACAGTAAATTTTACGTGTGATAAAAAATTTCTACACAATAGGATAAAATTTGAATTATATATATAATTAGCCGTCTATATAATATAATTTGTTTACAATTTTTATCATTTTATTACGAATTATTAAATAATATTTCATGCAATTGTTACTAATATTAATATCATTTGAGAATTGGTAACGCATTGCGGTTACTAAGTCGAAAAATAATATTCTTTGATTGTTTGTGTTAAAAACTAATTTAGAATATGAAAATCTTATATTCCACGAGTAATAATTATTCATCAAGCACATTAACATATTGAAATGATAATATTTGATTTAACATTCATAAGTGCGGCGAACTAATATATTTGAATAGTTTAGAACATTTTTGTATTCTTCAAGATTGACTTTATACGTTTCAAGTAGTTTTTCATTGCTACACCACCCATAATCAATACAATTATTCCTAAATTTTCTTCTATTCTTAAATATTATAATTTGATTAGTCCATCACGTTGTGAAGAGGTAAATTTTTTAATGATAATTGTCGATATTTCAACCATAGAGTATATAATATAACACTGCATAATAGAACAGATGATGCTGCGAACGATCATCGCCATAAGATCTCCCAAGCGCATTGGGCTTAACCGCATCGGCTGGACGTCGACCGATAACTTATCCTTATGCAGGTTGAGATTGTAGTACAGCGTATTAGCGTGTAATCGATGAATCTTTGCGTGGAAGGGGGAGGCCAATCGAATGGTTAATAGGTGCTCTCGTGTCATCTAAATTGCGTAGAGATTAGTTCTCGAGAGCCTCTAGTTTTAGGATGTAACGCACGTGGGAAGTTAAGTTGTCGTGTTTGCCTATGCGTGTGTACATAGGTAAATAAGTGTGTATACCGAGCACGTTTACAACTAAATTAGAAACATCAACAAATAAGAAAGAGATACATCGAATAAAAAATGAGAACAAAGAGAGAAATCGAATGAATCGAACCCTTATCCATTAAATAATGCTGAGCCATTTAATGTGATAGTAATGCTATGTTAAAAAGTTTAAAATAATTTATGGGAATTAACTATTATAAATCAATATTTGAAAAGCATGTGACCTACTAAAGTCCTATCGAAATTACTAACCAATATTAATTCAATAACCGGTTAATAGGCTTGTAAGAACTTAACTAATACAAGTAGCTAAATTAAATAGACTAATACATTCATATTTATATTTAAAAGTAATTTTAAAACTCCAAAAATTTGAACAAACTCATTCTTTAAAATGATGAATAATGTTATTAAAAGTAAATAACTTAAAAAAGTAAATGAATAAATTATCTTCAATGATTTCACAATGTCTCTTTCATTCCTTATTGTTAACTCTTATTCAAATATACCAATTAATAAATAAAGATTTATAATAGAATGTGATAATTAAATAGCATAGGTATATACTCAATTTGAAATATATTTTACATTAGAACAATGCTTTCACTTAATGAAGATTTTTCATTAGACAATTATGCAATATTTATTATTTATAACAAGTTCGTTATTGAAAAATGTATAGTATTTATTGATAGTAGTTATAGATAATAAAATTTTCTCATGACCGATAAATGAAGATATCGTTTGACATTTGACTTTGCCAACAAATTTAACTGTTAAGGAACGTACGAGTCCTTCTCATTTCAAACTATCGACGAGTTAGGTTTGACGTCCCTAAGATGAACTAAATGGTATAAGGGGTAGGAAATTTGCAAATTTTCGCGATGGTAATTTCCGCTTGGCTCAGTGGCTTCCGTTTCTGACAAATTACTGTGGTTTCCGGTTCGTATTGACGTCAGCGCATCGCGCACATTATGACTCTGCGCACTACGAAATCTAATTCGAGAATGATTTCGCAATCAAACTTATGTTTGATACTAATTTTCCAATACCATAACCCATTAAACTCAAGGTAATTATTTTATAACAACGTAATATTTTAGTATGTAAAGTGGATTCTTTTTAAAATAACAAATTCTTTGTAATATGATATTACATAAACTAAATTTCATCATGATTTAAAGTGCAAAAAATATATGCATTCAAAAGTTATTTAAAAATCTAAATATTATTAATAAAGAATATACAATAGTGAGCTAAATAGTTCGTAAAAATTTCAATGCAAATCTAATAATCAAGAATTCTAAAAAAAAGGCTTCATATTGTATTTTTATTTGTCGTTATTCAACATCATGAAAGCTTGGATCTTCCTATAAATTAATATAAAAATATATCTACAATATACGATAATAATAACAAATAATAACGTCAATAATATAATAAATTTATTAAAAAAAAAAAAAAAAAAAAACATATATAAAACAGTTTTCTGCGTATTACTAAGTTCTTTCACTTTATTATTTCCATTCTTCAAACATTCTTGAAAAAAAAATTTGGGCAAACACCTTATGATTAGTTCAAAGACTTATATATGTTTATTTACTATATTTAAAATCAAAATTTAGAAAAAAATCTGAATTTATTAAATAATAAATGATTTGACATCATATATATGAATAATGGAGGAAATACAAAACTTGTATCAAATATAAAAAAAAATGTGAGTGGAGAATTAACCTTATGAACTTGTGCTGAAATAATTAATTTGATCAAAGTTTGCTCTTCACGATATTTACCAACACACCTGAAATAATAATTTTCTAATTTTTCATCCTAATATTCATCATTTATTAATTTACATTATATGCGTCCATAATTCCTATAAAATTAAGCATTTATAATATATTTATTAACAATTAAAAATTTATTAATATCTTCGACATTTATAATGGATCATTTAAATTATTTTATTATATCAAGTATTAGTTTCGGATATTTTAGCTGTTTTATCACTATTGGATTTCGAATATTGAATTTTTTTAATTAATTTATATAAATATAGTTATAATAAAATTAGTATTTATTTTTATTATATTATTTCAACTTTATGTTATAATAAGCTATAATAATTGAAAACAGAAATGGAATTTAAAAGAAATTAGTGTATAAGGAATTTTATGAATTAATAAAATACGATAATGTGGAAAAATATGAGATCTATACATCCAAGAACGATTGGACTTACAATATCTCGAGTATGTGGATAAGGAGTTGATAAACAACGATCGATCGCGTATAATTTTGCGAAGTCATGGATTTAAGCGGAGATACGGCTAACTAAATGATGAAATGAGGATAAAGGAAAAGATATTGGTTTCCTTAGTTATCCTCTGATTTCCTAAAGTTGATCCAGCAATAAAAATAGTTTTATAAAAATTATCTGTAAATATGATAAGTTCCATCGTCGAATAGGAAATAAATATTAAATAAAAAGTGCTTTGGCTACGAGTTATTCTTTTATTTGCCATCAATTAGTGAAAGTTTATCTCTGCGACAGATCTTGTATATTTTAGATGAGCAAGGGCATTGATTTAAGCCATTAAGGGAACTGATTTAAGAATTTAAGCCAGTCTCATAAAACATATTAATTTAGACTTTTTTTTTTTTTAATAACTTCAAACATGAAAGTGAATGATATTCAGATAAATTGTAATTGACATATTAACGGATCTACGTGAATTTATATTATTCAGCGGTTACCTACATGTCCGCACGTAGATCTCACATCTTCCATCAAGTTACGTCATGTCTGTGTCGGCATAAACTATTTAACGAAGCATGTTAACTATTTTTTTCATATTACTGTAATTTGGATTTGCCAAATACTTATATCTAAGACCTTTCAATCGATTACGTTGTCCACAGTCACCTACCGAATCATTATCAAATAGTTTATATTCTTTTAACAAAATTGTTAATTCTTCTACACATTAAACTTTAACTAATGTAAATAAAATTTTTATTTTATACTACTTGTATTATTGATATTATTTGTTTTAAAACTCAATCGGTTATTGGTACAATTACATTAATGCTTGCAAAACAGTTGCACGTTATAATCAATAATAGATAAGAAGTTTTTTTGTTTTTAAATTCTATAATGTTAAATATAAAAATGCAAAGATTGATAATAATATTAACTATTTTCAGATTTAAATGAAATAAATAGAATAAAATAATTTCGTTATTAAAAGAAAAAATTTTCAAATAGAAAATATTTCAATTATAATTAGTATAACAATAATAATAGAATATTCATATTAATTCAACATTTCAATATTCAAAATTTCAATAGTCTTTAAAGAAGTATTAGTTCATCATTAACAACTGTATGTCCAAGCAAATGTAAAAAAGGAATACAACTGATAATGAAAAAATTAATAAAAAACTTTTTCAATGTTTGAAACTCATGAAATTTATAAATTAAAAAGCATATAATTATTTAGAAATCGTAATTTCAATTTTTCAACAAAATGGAAAGTATTTTTTGAATTTACAATTATAACAATTATTTCTAATGAAATGCATGTTATGCATTTTTATAAGAATTATTATATTTACTTAATTGAAATAATATATAGTATTTTTGTCTAGTTATTCATTAAGAATTTATGATTTTTTATATGATTTGTTAGGAATCCTTCCATTTCAAAATATTAAAAGATCATAATTTTTTTGTTGTGATTACCTTTAGCTTTGTATATAAACATCTACATGAACCTATCAACATGATCTTGTAATTACGATATGGCAAAGATTAAATGTAAATTTTTAATACTAAAATATGGTAGTTTTTGCTATATTCTTGTTTTGTAATCTATATAATTTTCTTTTTTAATATACAGTAAGCAGAGAGAAAGAAAATTTAAACTTTGTTCATTACGAGTTAGGAAGTATAAAAAGCTCAAATATGCTATATAAAATGACCCAAAAACTTTGATCCTTATATAAAGAACATGAAATATGCTCGAAAATTAATAAAAAAAATTTCTCCTTTCAAATATAGATAAATAAAATTCTTTGAAAATAAATTACAATTAACAATACAATCGTTTGCACTAATGGACAGTCAGGTTTTGAGAAAAATTGTTCCATTTAAAAATATGAAAAATCTCACTTTTTAACTATGACAGTATCTATTTAATATACAGATAATTTTAATTAAAAAAAAATATATATATATATATATATATATATATATATATAATTAAATATCTATTATAAAAGTCTATCTTAGAATATGAACAAAATTTGAAAATTATGCGTGTAATATTTCATTAATATTTTGTTTGTGAATCACCAAGTGCAGCTCTATTTTATTATTAATTAATTTCATAATTTAAGTAAATCTATGATTTTTTAGTTTAGCTACAGTTGGCAAGTCGCGGTACGCACATTTTTAAATTACATATTATTTTTATACAGATAATACTGAAATCGAAACAGAGGCTGAGGCACTAAATGGCGAGGCAACAGATTCACGGAAGATGGAAGTTCAGATTGGCGGGGCCGTGACGTTGGAGTGTGATGGCGGCTGCTGGGGACATGGCCCAGGTATGGACCCTGTCGGAGGTCCAGGGCATCTCGCACTTAGCAGAGTTGTGTATCAGGAAGCCGGCGAGTACCGATGTGTTTCGCCTGATCCTAAACAACAAGATTCTTGGAGAGCTCAGCTTCCATATCACATTAAAGTTACCGGTAAGTTATACCTGAAAGATATCTATTTTGTCACTATCGAATTTCTTCCTAATTAATTCCTACGTTAATTCAGTATAGAACAGCAAATTATAAAAATGATGATTTTTTATATATTTATACAATTTTATAATTCAATTGTATCATACATTTCATAATAAATGATATAAGAAAAGTCATTCATTCCTTAAGCGTCGTACAGATAATTTTCAAATTTCATTCTTTCATCGAATTAACAAAGTCATACATACACATAATTACGATAATTAAATAATATTACTCTTTATATGACAATTTTTTCTAAACGAAAAAACAATGTCGACTAAGCTCGGCAAACTTTACCTAAAAGAAAAAAACCAAGTGCAGAATAATCAATATTTTTCTTTTACGTTGTATACAGTTTTTAATACAAACACATCGTATCAGTTAATGTTTAAAGTTGAAAATTTAATGAATAATAAATTAGAAATTTAATTATTTATTATTGATTTATTAATCATTATTAATGCATTGATTGGACAAGTTTGAAAAAGAAGTATTTAAAAAGAAAATTTAATATTTAAGATATCTATTAAATGTCGGTATTTTCAAATTTTTTCTGAAAACTTTCTGTTGACTAACAGAAAGAAATGTTATTTTAACGTAATAGTCATATACGGATTGAACAATAAACAAAAAATTTATTTATTTTTTTGAAATTGTTATCAATAATTAATCTATTTCAGTGAAATATTTTTGTAAGAATAAAGTATACGGATTAAATGAATGGAATGTTTGAAGAAATGAAAAGTCGATACTTATTAATATAAGATAGATGCTATAAGAAATGACTTTTTTACAAAATAGGTTATATTATTATGGTTTTACAATGTTACAATAAACAAAGTACCACGATAGGCGAAATATCGGCAATATAAATATGCATAATTTAAAATAGAATGCATATTAAAATATTAATATCGTATGTTACAAATGTTATATAACTTTTCATAAAACTCTATCATCGTTATACATTTGTTGGGAAGGGGGGGGGGGGGGGTCGCTAAAATCAAGGCAATAGAAACTTAAATTCAATGCTCTTCAAGTTTTGTTAATGTTATTAGCGCTTTGTCGCTACATAGCCTAGGCGAGCAAATTTTGATGTTCATGGGCAGGAAGTTGCATCCCTTTATCGTTTATGAATTTTCTTCTTTTTATTTTCGGGTTGTTCGATACTTTGGTCTGCACATGTTTAAGTCATGCGAGAGAGCAAGCAATCCTTGGCATCTTCTTTTGTTTTGTTTCGTGCAGCTTGAATTGCTTTGGACGTGTCTGCCAAAAACTGACGAAATTGTATTACGAAGTTCTGTATATCTCATGGAAATTTCAGACTCGGCATGCCAAACTTTCTGCTGCGTTTGGCACTATTTTGAATATAACAAATAAGAAAGCCAAGCCAATTGTGCTGAAATCGTTTCAGCTTAATTTGCTCAATTCTATAACTGATTATTGCAATTTATAAGGCTACGATCGAATTAACACAGATCATCATCGTTCTATGTAAAAAAAAAAAAAAAAAGAAAAATGAAAAAAAAAAATTAAATCTCGTGACTATGACGATATATGTTATAAAGAATTTGTCATGTAATTAAAATTTTCAACTGAGTTTCTTCAACATAAAGAGTTACACGTAATTCAAGACTATAATAATGATATTATTGTGCAGTACAATGGCCAGTTTAATTAACTGAAAATAAATTTAATTTAAGATTAATTAGTGTTTTTGTACACCTATTCAGACTAATTGCTTTATAAATTCACAAAATATCGTGTAACCGAATAAATTATATTATTGCTACGAGTTACATGTTAATTATAATATAAAATACAATAATCATCAAGGAGAGAACGAGTTTCGTTGAAAAAAAAAAAAAAATGTCTTTATTGTATTGTTTGTAAATGGTATGAACCTATATAATATATTTTTGGTATTAATATAAAAATAATTTAACATTATATTACCAGTGGACGACAAAAATGTCCGATAGGTTAGCTTTGCTTTACAAACTATGATTGAAAAACTCACGCTCACACATGTGAAACATTTTTACGTTGAGATTTCGCGCGCAATTGGTTTGCTTTATCCTTGAAGTCTGCTCTTCTTTTGTCAACTCATACGCAGACAAATCTAGACAAGAGTAAACAAGTTTACGAGCACAGCCATGGAAAATCGCTGCCTCGTAACTTCGACACTCGCATTCGAGATACAGGAATACGTACGTGACGTAGTAGATGCACTCACATGAGTCCGCCCGACTTTTGTATCGAAAAATCAAAGGTCAATCGATTCTTCCGCTTTATTTCCTTTTTTCTTATCGCATTCGTAGTTTCTCATTAGTGGGAATCATCCTTAGTGTCGATTATCCAAGAGTCAACGAGCCGTAGAAATACGAATTGACAAGCACGAATAAGGAAAATCTTGCTCCGTATTTACGAATCAGCAGCCTAATTCCTAAATCTCGGCCGAATGCACGTATTCTACCTCTCCACTTGTTCGAAGTAATACGAAGGAAGATCTGCGGTAAAGATAGAGATAGTTAGGGCTTTCATATCCCGATTTTACAGTAAAGCTTGTGCACATTGACGATAATTGAAAAGTCCCAGACTGCGTATATCGTACTCTGTCTATGTGCCAAGTTCAAATTGGAAAAGGAAATGAGGTAGGTCAGCATGTTCTTTTTACTGCTTCTTCAAAGATTTCATTAAATGTATGTCGCGAAATTATTATACTTAAGGGTCTTACAATCTAGCCGTTTATTGTTTGCATTTATAACTGGAAAAAAACAAAACAATTTATTCGTCGTGAAGAATAATATAATTATCATTTAAGTATTCGATTTTCGTTTTTTTTCAATTTTCATTATTTTTACATACAGTATTTTATAAAAAACTTTTTATTCTTTATGCTATATTATTTTTCAATTTACGAAATATATATATATATATATATATATATATATATATATATATATATATATATAATGTTTATGTGCCTATTTAAAAATTGCCTATTTAACATATTAGAATATTGTATATACATAATGTAATAAACATTTGTATTTAGAAATTAAATATACAAATATAGTGTAAGTATCATAGAATAATTCCGATCATGTTGAGAATTTGTTATTGTTTTATTTCTGTCGACTAATATGCTTCAGTTTTATTTATATGAAATATCGTATGATAGAAGTTTGTCTGACAAAAACATTTTCCGACTGTTTTCTTTAGACAAAATATATATACAATTTTTACGATTACTTAAGTATTCATAAAAAGTAATTGATCTTGTTTATTTAATCGCTAAAAGAAGTAAAACTAAAATCATTATATTAACAAAATTATTTTCCAATGGAAATTCGTTATTCAAAAGGTTTTGCAAAATTTCGTAGAATATACAGAATCAATAGAAATGTAATAAACAATTAATATTGTAGAATTACTTATATAAATATCATTAAAAACTAAAAAAAAAGACATATTTATATCGAACGTATCGATCCATAAAATTTAAAAACCCTATAAATAATGCAAAATACTATATTTATACAATATACAGATAGTATTGGGTTATAATAAATTTTGTTACACACAAAAGTAATCACAAGTAATAAAAAACAAATGTTTAGACGTATTATCTTTTAACCCTTTTTATGCAATTTTTTTTTTTTTTTTTTTGGAACCTTTAATGTCACAGAATTTCAAGTTAAACAATTTATGGTCAAAAGGACAAAATAGATACTCAAAATGAAATAAGAAAAAAATGAAAAAAGAACGCCATTTAAGATTTTACGACATGCACCCACGATCAAAGAAATTCTTTGCGATTTAATTTTAATGCAAGTCCCGCGCTTCATACGGTCGAATGTCTTGATTTCCAATAACCCAGCAAAATCAGTGCATTGGTTATCCTGCCCGAGCAATATGGACAAGGCTTTGAGAAATCTGATAGCCAAGTCTTCTGATACTGTTCTCGGAACTTGGCCAAGTGCAGAGTTGCTTATTTGAGAGAGACGCCGGAGCGTATTGACACACCGATACGGAATTGGGTAAAGCGCAACTCTTCAATTATTCATTTGAAATTTTTCCTCCCTCAATAATTTCATACTATCGGGAATTCTGTTTGCGCGTGAAATTAATCATTAGGAAACTTTGCTTTCACAAATATATTTCTCGACCATAAATCCAAGCCAATGATGAAATATTGAAATACCCGCTTTATGAGAAGGGCATACTATTTTCTTTTTGCCTAAGATTTTCTGCTTATAATTCGATATTTTGTACTTAATCGATCGATGTTTTAGCGAAAGGATAGTACAAATTTAAATTTAATTCAATTAATATCCAATAATAATTATCGGCATGTGATAATTTGAAATTATGTGAATACGATTACCATTATATTGTTCTCTTAAATTTTATGTATTACATACTAAATATGTAAAAGTTGATAAAACGCAATAAGCTTTTTATGTATTCGTTAATGCGAAAACTTTTGATACATTGCGTTATATATTATTTCTACTGTTTATAAAAAAAAATTAATTTTTTCAAATATTTACATTTATTTTATACAATTTTGTAAATAATATTTTCTCCATACCAAAAGAAACACAAAAATTAAATAAAATTTAGCTACTGTAGCTTCATGCAATCAATTTAAATAAAATTTTTTGTAGAAAATTATTCTATGCATAAAATTGAACTCAAACAAGTTATTGCGATTATAAGCCACACGCACGCACGCGCACACGCGCGCACACCCGCGCACACACATATATGCATATATATTACAAACCTATGAACACATGATGTAAATGATAGACTTCGTAGTTGGACAAAGCCACTCAGACAAACTAATTTATTAGTTTCTGCTTGTACAGCAAATACTAAATTCATACTATCTATGTTTCTATATTTAAGTCAACTTGCAAACGAGCACCGAAAAGTGAAACCCCTTTATG